GGAACGCCCCCGCGGTGTAATCGCCCCCCCCCCCCTGTTGGTGCGCGGGGGGGGGTCACCCCCCCCCCCCAGGGGGGGGGGGGGGCGTTTACAGGGAGGGACTAGAACTGACCTGCTGGATGTCCGTCGTGATCCCGGTCCAGTCTAGTCTAGGCTAGTCTAGTCCAGTTTAATCTAGTCCAGTCTAGTCTAGTTTAGTCCAGCCCAGTCTAGTCCAGTCCAGTTTAATTGAGTTTATATTAGTTTAGTTTATATTAGTTTAGTTTAGTTTAGTCCAGTCCAGTTTAGTTGAGTTTATATTAGTTTAGTGTAGTCTAGTCTAGTCTAGTCTAGTTCAGCCCTGTCCGGTCCAGTCTAGTTCAGTCCAGTCCAGTTTAGTTTAGTTTAGTCCAGTCTAGTCTAGTCTAGTCTAGTCTAGTCCAGTCCAGTCTAGTCTAGTTTAGTCTGGCCCAGTCTGTCCAGTCTAACCCAGTCTAGTACAGGCCAGTGCGGTCCAGTCCAGCCCAGTCCAGTCTAGCAAAGTCCAGCTCACTCTGTCCAGTCTAGTCCAGTCTAGTCTGTCCAGTCTAGTCTAGTCCAGTCCAGTCCAGTCCAGTTTAGCACAGCCCAGTCTAGACCAGTCCAGCCCAGTCCAGTCTAGTCCAGTCTAGTCCATTCCAGTTTAGTTTAGTTTAGTTTAGTTTAATCCAGCCCAGTCTAGTCCAGCTGATCTGCCCACAAAGTGATGCTTTCACTGCAAAGCGCAGCCAAAGTTTTCCCTCCTGATCCAATTCAGGGTCCAAAAACACAAAGAAACAACACGTTCATCTCATTTGAAGTACCGTACGCTGAAACCACAAAAAATAAATAAATAAATCAGCACTCCTAATTCTTCAGAAGGTTACATAAGCGTGTTGTGTAACGGACACACGGCCCGCTTTAGGACACGACATACCTCGTGCATTATGTAAAAAGCATGTGAGAATGTGTTTGTCCCGTCCATTAACTCCTCCAGATGTACTAAAACTCCGTTATTCCTGTGACAGAAGGGATTTATTAAACTGTAATAGTCGTGTATACTCTGAGAAAAACACCACAAAAAGGAGCTGACATCATTGTGGGTGAAGTAATGATAAAGTATATTGACTATAAACTGCAAAGTATACTTTTTTAGTAATTGGAATAAGCCAACAGTATAAATAAGGATATTATTACCATACTAAGGATATATTAAAAGTATAAAGCTTATATATTTTTAAGACACTAACAAATATTTTTTAATGTAGTTATAATACAATCAAAGTATACTTTAATTTGACTAATTAAGCACATATTAGTTCATATAAACTCATATACTTAAAGTATACTAAATATACTTAAAGTTGTTCCACTTTAGCACATCAAAGTACACTAAGTACACTTCAAGTTGAGCTTTTTCACAGTTAAATTACAATTAAATATATTTAGTACAAAATTAGTTGTTCCAAAATAGCATGCTTCAAGTTAACTCATCATAAACGCACTTAAATCAATCAATCAATCAATCAATCAATCAAGTTTATTTGTATAGCCCTTAACAATACCCAAATGGTACTCAAAGTGCTTTACAACAAAGCCATAAAACCATACAAAAAACATACAAAACATACAGAAACTACTAAAAATGCGTAGAAAGGAGTAGACAGAAGGAGGAAACCTAAGAGACCCCTAGTCCGAATTAAATGCTAATTTAAAAAAGTGGGTACCCAAAAGTATGCTACATTTTAGTACACTTAGCACATTTATTTTTTCAGCAGGGTGAGTGGACCTTTGTGCCATTTAGCCTCCCCTCAGACTCTGACCAGAGGAGGAAACGCCCATTTTTCTGCATTTTTCTCACCTGGTTTGCTTTTGGGATAAAAGTCTCTTAGCATCTGTTTGTCTTTTATTGTCTCGAAGCTTGAGCTGAAAAACAGCCGTGAAGATTCGGATCTCCACGCTCGGATTAACCGTCTGGGTGAAAACAACCGTGGAGGGAAATTTTGCATAGCTTTATTTTTTTTATTTGCTGCTTCATTCCCATCTCTTTCTCTTTTTTTAAAAGCTCTCTTTCTGTCTGTGTGAGCAGCTGTGCTTCATCAGATCGTCGGATTTCTCCCTTTTCCCTTCCAGACATGTTTAAGTCGACTCAGTTATCCTTGAAATATCTGGAGTCCATCATCAGCTTTCCAGTCCAAGATTTTATGAAAGAGCCAAATTTGAGGAGAAAGACACATTTTCTTTACAATTGATCTTTTTTTTCCAAGAAGTTCAGTAACTTTTTTTTAAGAATCAGAGGAAACAATCTAACTCCAGAATTCTTAACCCTTTATATCCTGATCCAAGAATAAAACAAAACAGAAAATCACTTTTTATTTATTGAATTCCTTATTTGGCCTTTTAACAAAATATGTAAAAAGAAAAAACAGAAATACATTTTTTATATTAATAATTCATTACTATGCGATAAGTCCAGATTATTTTTTGTGTAGTCTTCTGCCCCCTGTTATCAGGTGTATCTGATTGTGTACAATAGGATTTTGAGCAAAGTTTTTACCATTAAATTATGCAAAAGGTGTCAGACGCAAAACATTTCAGAAACCGTATGAATCAAATATGATACATTTGGCATTACAGGGCTAAAAGTCGTGAAAGTTTCTGTTTCTGTGAAACAAAAAAGATCCAGAGCCCTCTTTCTCCTCTTCCCGGTGAGTTTGAAACTTCTGTGTTTCCCAGAGATGCTGATCAATGTCAGCTGGGTGCTTTCTGCTGACATCAGTGACAATCAACTCTGATGAGAAAACTTCTTCTTTTCTTTTTCTGTCTTTACACGCAGCAGAAAATCAACTTTGAAGAAGTCATCAATTTTGGAGGTCTTTGCCTTCAATAAAGATCAATAAAGTCTAAGTCTAAGTCTAAGCCTTCAAATGCATCTGCGATTAAAACATCCTGCAGAAAATGTAAAAACACAATTTTGAAAACTTTTATTTTAGAATGAAGTGTCATTGTTGTGGTTGATTGATTCATTAATAAAAAACAAATTTATAGTTTTTTATGTGTCTTTTTTCTCCCATTAAATGTCTCACTGTTAAAACTATTTGGAACAATCAGAGATAGAAGTGGAATACGTACACAACTTTTGAGCTTGAATAAAGATGTGAGGAGAAATGGGAAAACAAGGTGGGAAAAGGTATCTGGCCCAAACTGGCTGGATTTCTTATAAAAAAGCTTAACCCTGTAATGCCAAATGTATCATATTTGATACATTCTGTTTGCGAAATGTTTTGCGTCTGACACCTTTTGCATAATTTAATGGTAAAAAATTTGCTCAAAATCTTATTGTACACAATCAGATACACCTGATAACAGGGGGCAGAAGACTACACAAAAAAATCATCTTGACTTATCGCATAATAATAAATTATTAATATCAAAAATGTATTTCTGTTTTTTCTTTTTACATATTTTGTTAAAAGGCCAAATAAGGAATTCAATTTTGAAAAAAAAGTTATTTTCTGTTTTGTTTTATCCTTGGATCAGGCTTTAAAGGGTTAAGAGTGGCTGTTATTTTGCTCTTTGGGTCCCCCTACAGTCTTTGGGCCTGAACGGCTGCCATGGGAAAACAAATGTGTGCGATTTCTCCGTTCCAGGTTCAGGAATGCACAAAACAAAAGTCAAAGAGACGAGTCGGAAGTGCAACGCTTTGAGGTTCCCTGTGACGTTTCTCCTCCTCCAGACTTCACATTTAAAACATCGGTGAGAGATGGAGTCCCCACATGAGGTTTGAGGCGTAGGGCTCAATAAGCTTATGCTTCATCCTGCTCCTTTTTGAAACATGACGCATGTTTATGAAGCATTCAATGTAAACATTGTTAAATCATGTCATGTTTCAAAATAAATGAAATGAAAATGAAAAGTTTGGGGAGTTTTGTGTGGCACATCAGGCTCAGCTGCTCCAGGAAATCTCACAATTCGTGTCAATCCCTTACAAAAAAGGATGATATTTGGGCTTTAAGTCAAAAACTCATCATGACATCACAATGATGCTCGGAGAAGAGATTTTTTCTGGTTGTCTTTTTCTTTTTTACTGTAAATCTCCGGATGAAATAATCAATTTAATTTAAAAAAATGACATTAGAGTTACAATCATCTCATTCTAAATGAAAATGTTAGGATAGTTTTATGCTTTAAAATGCTTTTAATCTTCATGTTTATACTCTTAAAAAAACTAATTTTACTTCCTAGAAAGGATAATTAAACTATCTAAAAGACAGACTTACTTCACTGCAACAGATCTCTTAAATTTTGAACATGCTAAACTTCTACTTCACTTCTTCTATCAGAATCAGAAATACTTTAATAATCCCAGAGGTGAATTATTTTTGTTACTAACTCCAGAAATACAACAGCATATAGTTATATACATGTCTATATACATATATATACATATACATATATATATATATACAAAATATAAATAAATATATACATAAGTAACTATATGTATATATATATATATATAGGTCTAAAATAAGTGATGGTGATAATGGCAATAATTAAGTTAGAATTTACAGAGGAAGTACACATGTAGAACATATTTAAATTGTCTGGACTCAGGCGACTTTTCAAAGAAAAAAAAGCTTAATTTTATGATTTGAGCTTTTTTATTAAACATGTTCAAGTTGGTTGGATTTCAACATTTGGTCTCTGAATCTCTGTGTCAGTTACTTTGCCATCTAGTGTTAATCAGTAAGTCACCAGAATCACCAAAAACAGATTCTGAGACCTTCGGGAGAATTAAAGAACACAAATAACAAACATCTTTGTCCACAAAAAGAAGTGTGACAACAGCCACATTTATTAGATTATCATTCGTTTGATACTCCTCATGAGAACATAACAGAATACATTCCACCACTCAGACGTTTCCCTTGTCTCAGCCTTTGTCTCTAAACTAAAGCGTTCGCCCGGTTTAAAACCGGGAAACAAAACAAGACCCCGGCCAGGTGTGAGACAGCAGGAGCCACATTTAATATTCACATTCTTATTGTCAGTTCAGTTCATTTAAAACGGCCCTGAGCAGAGATCTGTGTAAACATTTCTACATTTGCTCCGAACACATCGGAGGAAACAGAGAGTCAGTGCTCCTCTTCTCGCCCTACAGGTCCTCGGGTTTAGTTTTTAGTTTTATAGGCATGCTGGTGTTCTCTTACATACTGATTGCTGCTGTGCATATATACAAGGGGAAAAAAAAGATGGCGACTGTTGCATCACGGGCTCCCAGGTTGCTTTTGTTCTAACGCTTACGGACTAGGATTGAGAATAGAATAAAGCGGAAATGCGTTTTATTGGGTGTTGGAGGAGGGTTTTCCAGCTTTTCTGCATACGGTTATGAGATCTAAGGGATAGAGCGGAAATGCGTTTAATTGAGGGTTTTTCCAGATTTTCTGCATACGGTGTGCGAGAATAGAATAGAGCGGAAACGCGTTTAATTGGGTGTTGGAGGAGGGTTTTCCTGCTTTTCTGGATACGGTGTGCGAGAATAGAATAGAGCGGAAATGTGTTTTATTG